CTTACGGACTGTCAGAAGCCCCTTCCACGCTGACAACCCTTTTCATCCTTGGAAACTCCCTGAGGTCACGGCAAAGGGCCCTCCTTAGGTAATGTTAAAAACTCCCTAACCCTAACAAGGGTGCACAAGCAGCAACAGAAAACCCCGTCAGGCAGGTACAGCACTCCCCCCTCCCTCCCCCCCCCCTCCCCCCCCTCCCCCCCCTCCTCCTCTCTCTTCCCTGGCCCCCTCTGTCCCCCCTCCCTGCGGTCTTTCTTTGTATAAATCGTGTGCCATTCGTTCTGGTGAAGGACTGGGGCAACGCCAGAGAGTGAATTTTTTTTATGTTAGTGTCATTTTCTGTATCCTACTGAACTTCGTGGTAATATTCAGTGGTTGGAGACCTCTGCTTACGCATTTATTTATTGTTATTGTTAATTAATTAATCAACTAATTAATTGTTTATTTATGTGGTTTTTTATTTGGGTACTTGTTTACTGCATGGAAACCCTCGTTTTCTTCTTCTTTCCTCTCTCTCTCCCACCCTCCCACCCTCCCTCCCTTCCGTTCCTCCCTTGCGTTGCGCTGTACCTTTGCACACACGGTATAGTGTATATGGACATGCACAGGCACAGGTTCATTCCACTGTATCGCACTGTGTGATTTCGAATAAACAAGATAAATGGATTTCCGATGTTGGCGTTTTGTCTGACATTTTATTTTTCGTCAATTTGATTGTCTTTTTTTTTTTTTTTTTTCTTAATAACCGTTCTTTTAATAGCAAGCACGGGTGCACCTGCTGGAGACGGAGAAATTTTCTGATGTTTTTGGCCCGAAGAAACAGCGCAAGCGGCCTAAGCTTGCAGTGGAAGATTATGAAGCCCTTGTGACCAAAGCAACTTCAATTGGAGGTGATCCATCTCCTCCCCCCCCCCTCCCCCCCCCTCTTTCCTTCCTTCCTACTCTCTCTCTCTCTCTTCTCTCTTCTCTTGCCCGAGTCCACCATACCCAATTCAACCAGTGCGTTTTTTTTTTTTTTTTTTTTTTTTTTTTTTTTAACGGGCTTTCAACTGGGTTAAAACCTGAACGAACTTGGAAAAAAGAAGAACAAAAAAAAAAAGGAACAAGCTTCAGTGAGATCGAAATGAAACAAAGTCTGCTATTTGTTTGCTTGTGTGGGGTTGTTGGAGTATAATAGGTGCAATGACTTGCTGATTTCAACTGCCGAGACTGACTGCGAGGCTGTACAGTACCAGCGGCAGGGTAGATTCGTCATTTTGTTTGGCTGAGGGCTAACCGAGAGACCTACCTGTACGGAAAATTCGTTAGGGACATATCTGCAAATATGGGAAATATAAGCCCATCACTAACCTGAATTTCCTACCGCTACCCCTACTGCGTATAGCAGACCCGGGCTACCCCTAGGACGGACAGGCCTGAAAGGCCTATGCCGATAGACGGTCCTATAGCCTATAGCCGGGTAGGGAGAGGCCGAGAGGCCGAAACTCGAACGGTACCGGTCGGTCCAGTCAGTCGGGTTTAGGTCTAGGCTAGGGTAGAGTAGGTCTATTAATAGATTAGGAAAATCAGTTCGGGACTTTTGGCTGTTCATTCTCATGAAGCAGCGTTTGGAGAAGCCAAGCAAGTTGGCGGTGGCAATTGTTTACAGGCGGCATCCTGAGACCCTTGCCTAGGACGGCAGCCATAGCCGGCCTTCTGAAGGTTGTCGGAGCTGGGGTATCCTCAGCGCATCTACCCCTGGGGGTATCTGCGCCAGGCCAGGCTATATCGAGGCTCTTCACTGAGTATTCGTGGGTGGCGGCAGCCATAGCTGCCTGTTTCTTCGTCAGAGTTGTCCATCGGCACTGAAGACTCCATCGCAGGATCTGTTCTTCATCTGGGTGGTTGGCGCTGGCCTCTGGGAGGCTGTTTCGGTTTGGCGCTACTAACTGGGTGTAGGGTAGAGAGTGGGGTGTGGGGTTCTGAGTGTGGCGAGATACTGGAACAAACTCTGTAACGATATCTGGTTTTAATTGCCTCATCATCAGTGTGAATTCCAATTGCTATCCTCGCAGGTTTCTTCTTGTGATTGGTTGTTGGGAGTACTGTCAGAGAGTGAGGAACACTGTGTGTCTTCTCCCCACCTGTGCATAGCTGTATTCCGCTGCCTATTTTGATCTGTGTACAGTCTGGATCTGTCTCCTCTCCTCCTTCTCTTATGCATGTATGGGCGTGTATGAGACTGTCTGTGTGTGAGTGGCGGTAGAAATCGTCAGACAACCAAGTTCATAACATAGGGACCTGCCACCGTCCACTTGTTTACAAAAAAACAAACAAACAGAAAAGAGAGATTGAAATAAAATTATATTTAATTTTCTCAGCAATTCTAAAGTCACTGGCTACTCAAAAATCTCTGTTTCAGAAAAAATAAATAACGAATCTCCGGTTGTTCTGCCTTACGGTGCTCAGATGTCTGCAACGTGAAAAGCTGGTTTCACAATTCTTGAATCTTCTTCTTCTTCTTCTTCTTCTTCTTCTTCTTTTTTTTTTTTTTTTTTTTTACTCATAAAGGGTTCATGTTGTGGTAGAGGGTGGATGCTCGGCCTCGGGAGGTGTCTGTCGTCGTACTCAACCAGTGTAAGTCTGGTTGCTGTCCACTGGCAACTAGGTCACACACACTAGCACTTTTCTCAATGTATCTGACCGCATTCACAGCTGGATCTCGATACATCTGGCTGCAATCACGTCCAGAGCTGAGTTGGTTGCTGTCCACTGGCAGCTAGGCCATACACACACTAACACTTTTGTCAATGTATCTGACCGCATGTACGGATGGATGTTGATGGATCTGGCTGCATTCACGTCTTGAGCTGAGCCAGAAAAGTCCCAGTATTGTCCTGGCTCCATGTTCACGATCCGGGGGAGTGCAAGTCTGGTTGCTGTCCATTGGCAACTAGAACAAAGAATACATACAGACACTAGCACTTTTTCTGAATGTATCTGACCGCAATTACGGTTGGATGTGGATGCACCTGGCTGCAATCGCGTCCAAAGCTGAGTCGAAAATGTCCTAGTGCAAGCATGCCCTGACACACTCCATGCTTCTTTCCGTCGAGGCCGAAACATTTCTCATTTCTGAGATTTCTCCCAATTCTTGAGTTTAGCTGATTACTCGAAAAGAGTCAAAACTCTCTCTCTCTCTTTGTTCAACTTTGTGCTGCTCAGATGTTTACAGTCCCTAGCATTATTATTGCATACATCAACATCAATCAGGATTTGAACTCTTGACCTGTTGAATCAGTTGTCATCACATATGTACCATGCAGCCACAGGCAGGTGCATCTATGATTTATTTTTTGCATCTATGATTTATTTTTGCATCTATGGTTTATTTATATCATTAATTCCTTCTGTTCTTTTCCTTTTTGTTGAAAAAAAATTTCACAATTCTTTTTTTTTTGTTTCCTCATGGTTTTGAAGTTGCTGGATACCAGAAGTTCTATGTTGATTTAACAAAAAAAACGAATCTCCGTTTCTGTTTGCGCAACGTCGTTTTTTTTTTTTTTTGTGTTGTTCAGATGTTTACAATGAGAAGCTGGATGCGGGTATGAGGGACCCAGGAACCTTAGTGGAAGACGGTGATGGCGTGAGGGCAGAAGTCAGGGATAGCATGTTTAGTAAAGGCCAAAGCAAGCGGATCTGGGGAGAGCTCTACAAAGTTATCGACTCATCCGATGTCGTGATTCAGGTCGATGTCTCATCATCTCTCATTTGGTCTGCCCTCCTCTCCCTCTCTACCTTTCCCTATAGAGTAACTACTATATAGAGCGAATGTGTGGTGCCGTCGGACGGTGTTGGACGGTGATGCTTGGCTGTTTCTCTACCTTGTCGATTGGCTATGGTTCGTTGGTCCGCTTAAACAATTTGAAACCATAGCCAATCGACAAGGTAGAGAAACAGCCTTGCTTCTCTACCTTGTCAATTGGCTATGTTTCAAAACAATTCGAGTGTACCATCTTCAAAATCATTTTGAAACAAACGGTCCATGTTGGGAAGAAATGAGAATAAAGTACACATCCAAATTAATCCGAAATTAAAATGAAATAATAAATTTGTAGAGTGAGAGGTGGTAGTGTCCTCAGGGGGCCACAGTATTGTTGCCGCGCCTGGTTTTCTACCTACTGACACTCTGGCGGGGAAGACACGGTACCTACTGCCCGTCTTCCCCCGAATATAATGCGCAGTCATTATTGCTGTATGTATTTGGGGCAAATTTCAGTCTACGCGCAGCGATAATGACCGTGTGTCCTATTGGAAGGAAGACGGGACAAGCGCTGCGGGTGAGTGAAATATTGCCCAACAGCGAAAATTTCTCTGAGTGAAAACCGGACCTAGGTTTGAACGGCACTCTGAACAGACAGAAAAGTTAGAAGGAAAAAAACAAAAATGTAAGCCGCAGTAAAAAAACTTCTGTGAGTCTTCACCCGAATAGAACGTGTGATCATTATCGCTGCATCGGGACTGTGAACTGCACCAAATACAGCTACAACGACTGGGGCGTTCTATTCGGGTGAAGACGGTAGATTTGAATTGCACCCTGAACAGACTGAAAAGAGGGACATAAACACGCAAAATCGTAAGAAGCAGAAAGGGCTGATATAGATTAGAGTGTAAAGCAGTGATAGGGGAGAGGACTGCATTCCACTGCACTACAGTTGCACCTCTGTATATCGTCACACTTGTGGATGTAGAAGACCTACGACCACAAGCTGTTTGTTCTGCTTGTTCACGGAGTGGAGCAATCCTCACCTCAGCGTGTACCTTTTTTTTGCCCCTTCCCCCTTTTCCCCATCCCGTGGAAGATCAGATCATTTGTCACCACCGTTTGTCCATTCTCAACTGACAAACCCAGCTGTTGTTGACTCTATTGCTCGGTGCCCACGCCTCCTCGGTTGCTGCTTGCCCATGCCTCTACTGCCCGTTACCCAGACATCAATTCCATTGCAGGAAAGTTTGTGTGGTTCCATTGCAGGAAAGTTCGTGTGGTTCCATTTTGACCGGGTATGCCTAGTGATGGTGGTGGCGTTTCTAGCGACAGAGGTGGACGTTGTGGAGAAGGCCGTGATGGACATTATGCATAAGGTTGCTCATGAAGGACTTATATGGCTTTGTTGGGGCTAGAAGGAACCTCGTTTCAGATCCATAGGTTGTTGAGAGGTGTGATGTCTGCGCGGGATGGTCGAGCCAGTTTCCAGCAGCACCAGAAGTTTTATTGCGCTGTATCCTGTGAGGGTGTACACTCTTCCCGGAGGCACAGCTCCCTAACAATAGAATGGAGCTTTTAAATAAAACAAGGAGACCCGCCGTGCCCCCTCTCCTCCCTACGTCATCCCGCTCTTCGCCCCTCCCGTTCCTGTGCCCTCCCTTTCCCCCTACTGTCCGCCCCCCCGCCTACCTTATGCCGCTCTCTTCCTCTCGATCGTGCCGCTGGCTGGCCGTGTTCTCCCGTTTTCCTTTCCGATCCTTCCTTCCCGCCCTTTGATCTCCCGTGCAGTCTTCTCGCCCCTTATTGTGCCCTCCCGTTCCTCTCTCTCCTTCCTACGTTATCCTTCTCTTCTCACCTCTCCTTTGTGTTCCCTCCCTTTCCCCCATTCATTCTCCTTTCTCCTTAGTGTCCTCCCCCCCCCCCCCTCCCCCCCCTGCTAGCGCTCGCTCTCCTGTCGATGGCCAGCGCCTTGCTAGCTGGCTGCGCTATGCTGCTCTTCCTCTCGATCGTGCTACTGTCTCGCCCCGCTCGCTTATGCTGCTGTCCTCTCGATCGTGCTGCTGGCTGGTCATGCTCACTTGCTTGCAATGGCGCTGTCGGTTCTGATGCACACGTCGAGTGGCACCGGCTGGTCTGTTCTGATCCACACGTCGAATGGCGCCGGTCGGCCGTAACCCGGAAACTTCGCACGGGGCACTTTTGGGCTGGTCCCAGCCTGGCCTCGGTGCTCCAGAAAGTTCGCGAGGGCACTGGCAGGCGGCGATGCCGACCGAGCTTTCGTTGGGCCCACGCCTGGTCTCCGGCCTTGTTTCCCAACACTGGTGATCCGAGTCTCGACCGGGAGCGTCATGCGAGACCCGCTGTTTCTTTAAGAAGAGAAAGGGAAGAAGAGCAACTTCATGCATGTTTTGGTGATTTGTGGCTTGTGATGCTGAATGATTTGCTTCTGGCTGGTTGTGGTGGGTGATGTGGGATGTTGGTGGCTGGTCTTTGTGTGCCATTTGTTCGATGGGGAACGAGTCATGCGGTTGGGTGGGTGGGTGGGTGGGTGGGTGGGTGGGTGGGTGGGTGTGGGGTTGGATTGGCATATATGCTGGAATGATGCTTTGCTAAGCAGGTTTTGGATGCAAGAGATCCTCAAGGGACACGATGCAGACACCTGGAGAATCACCTGAAGAAGAACTGCAAACACAAACACTTGCTGCTGCTTCTGAACAAGGTTTGTAGTTCTGGAATGCAGAAACAACGAGAATGGGTTTAGTTGGTAACTTAATGAGATACCAAGTTTTTTTGTTGGTCGTAGAAGGATCGTGTTCGTAGTTATTATAGGCGTGATGGGTGTTTAGAATAAAATGCTTTCCAAGACTAATAACTGACCTGCTTGCGTTGTTGTGGTCCCCACGTTTTTTTTTGGTTGAGCAGTGTGACTTGGTGCCGGCATGGGTGACGAGAGGCTGGCTGAGAGTCCTGTCACGAGAATATCCCACCTTGGCGTTTCATGCATCGGTCACCAACCCGTTTGGCAAGGTGTGTAGCTCCCTTCTCCCTTCTCCTCCGCCTTCCTGCTGTCTTCTCCCTCAACGAATTCCTGCTGCTGTTTTTAACGCCAACTATACTTTTAGCAAATGTTTCTACTTCATTCTTGTTAGCTATGGTATGTTTTTGGCCTATGCATGGGGAGGAATAGAGGAAATTCAAGCAGACTGTATGCACCATGAAGTCACAAGTGGTTAACGGGTCAACGGGGACCCCCACTTTCAGCTCCTGGGTAACGGGTCCAAAACTGGAATTAGGGTGTAGGGGTCCAATTTTATGTTTTTGTATTTATTTATTTTTTTCACTGTTTTTGTTTTGGTTTTAAGGTTGCTGTGTGCCAAATTTGCTTCGAGTCCGTGCTTTGCACGGAGGAGCACCGAGGCCCAGAGGTACTGATCCAATGGCATTGGAAAGCTCCCGTGAACTGGCGGGCAGTTAAAGTCCTGCATAAGTGAGCAGGCTATACTACCGATGGGGGTCATGTGCTACATCGAGCAAAGTGTGAGGTGATTGCCAGCGTCCGTGTGGTGTTGCATGTGGTGTGTGTTGAGTGTGGACGCTACAGCCTTGCAGGGGTAGGGCGGATATCACGGCCGGTATGGTTCCGCTTTTGAACACCGTGTCCTGGCTGTAGTGGTTACGATACTTGGCTCTTCTTGAGGCCGAGGTCGCTGGTTCGAGGCCGTGCTTGCACGGAGGAGGGCTGAGGCCCAGAGGTACTGATCCAATGACATCATTTGGGCCATTAGAATTTCCTCTGATGAGATTTCTGAAATTTCTCAAGATTTCTGAAATTGGAATGTTGTCGAAATTTCATAAAAGTGCACTTTTGCCTTGCTGTTTTATAGTTTTTTATAGTTTTTTTTTTTTTTTTTTTTTTTTGGTGTAAGTAGTTAGTGTGATCTCCACTCTATGAATTGGTGTTAAGTTTGGTTAAAATGACCCTTGGGTTTTGTTATAAATGGCATGACACGCTGTCTGAAAATTGAGGCCTCTGTTAACTGCCTCTCCCATGAAGCGACATGAAATTTGATTTTGTTTTTTCTCGAGTGTTTGTTTCGATAATCATCAAATATGTATTTGCCGCCCTCTTCTTGCTGTCTTCTCCCTTTCTCCTCGTCCCTGCTCCTGCTCTCTTGTCCCTCCCCCACTCCTCCGCTTCGCTCCACGTGCACCTCCCCTCCTCCAGTACTCTCCCCCTTTCGCTCCCTTCATACCTCTCCACTCTCCTACTCTCCTCCCTTCTTCCCTTTCCTTTTCCCTTGTCCCTCCTCCCCCTTGCCTCCTTCCCTTCTCCTCTCCTCTGTTTCTCCTCCTTCCTCCCCTCCCCCACCTCCCCTCCTCCGCTCCTCTCTCTCCTCTCTCTCCTCTCTTCCTGCCCTTGGGGACTATTTCAGGGAGACTTTTCGCAATTGTGGTTTTGATACTGTATGCTGGAGGCCGGTTGAAGGCGGAGGTTGTCAGAGTAGAGATTATTATCGTAAACCCCAGCAACGCAGGCTTTTAGAGTCTGGACAAAAAAGAAAGAAAGTGTAGAATGTGGCACTAACCTCGATACAGCAATGCAGGCTTTTAGAGTCTGGATAAAGAAGAAAGAAAGTGTACAATGTGGCACTCACCTCGATACAGCCTTTGGTCCCAGGTCTCCGTGCAGCCAAAAGTGGCACGCCGTACGGGGTGTACACTGGATGCACATACATACGGCCACCGGGTCACGTACACGAAGACACACGGACACATATCCATGCTTTCGGACAGATCGCGTGCCACAGTGGCCAAAAGGTGACAATGTGGCACCCACCCCAACATGGCCTCGGGCACAGTTCTCCTTTGAGCCGAAAGCGGCATACCACATTGGGCAAAAGGGGGTTCAGACGGAAGCAGCAAAACTGAAAAAAAGAAAAAAGAAAACGGAGGAAAAGAAGAAGCAAACAGCTCGTCGGCCCCCTATACCAGGGCGACGGCTCTCTTCGGACCCGGATGACCACCCCGTTCAAACATTTGAGGAGAGGTGGGGAACCAGAAGGTTGGGGAAACATTTGGAACAAAGGGCCGAGTCTCAACAGATCGTGACCACAAGGCCACTCTACTGCTTACACCAACACCCCGTTCCCTGTCTATGTCGTCTGCAAAGGGTTCGACTCCTTGAGCGAAAGGAATTGCGATGAAGAGAACCCCCGGGCGTCAGTGCTCCGCTGCAGGAGGGACAACTCCGAACTTACGCTTTTGGGGCCGGACGGGCTGTGGCCCTATCGACAGTCATGAATCAGAATGCGTGGCGACTTTGTAAGATTTTGCGACCTTGGGTGACTAAACTGCCGCGAAGCGTGGTGTCAGCTCCATTCTTTTCTTGGCCAGCCAGCGAAGCTGACGAGCCGAAAAAAAGGTTAAGGGGGGTTTGAACCCTCTACCTTAGCCTTTGGCAATGCTTGGGCTGTTATACATGCATGGACTTCTCTCTCGTCTTCTTCCCCATCTTTGTCCTCTCCTCTTCTCCTCATCATCTGTGGTTGCTCCCCATTATTGTGTGAGGAAGGAGGGATCTTCTTCATGTAAGTCTCACCCTCCTTGCCATCCCGATGGAGGATGATGAGTGCAGTCACTGCAGTGTCTTATAGTCCTATCCGCAGTGAGTTTTTTTTTTTTAGTACTATGATTGAGATTGGTTGATTTCAGGCTTCCCTTCTTTCTTTTTTCCCTTTTTTCGGAAAGGAAGGCATCCCCTAACTTTGTTGTGTGCTTCTAATTCCAATCAATCAAGATTCAAACTCATGTTTGCGTTTGCTAACACTTACGTGTGTGTACCATTCTGCCACGTGGACAGGGTGATTTCAGGTTTCCACTCCGTATTGTATTGTTGTTTCTCTCTCCACTCTGGCTGTCCTTGGGTCTGCGGCATGCATATCTAAGTGATTCACCGCCTGGCAGCTTTAGGTTTTTGTGACAAATCGGGGAACCCTAAACCCAACTTCTTTTGTTTCCAAGATCCGCAGAGAAACTCTGTGTCACGTATCTCCGGACTTTACATAGACTTTCCGCTTATTAAACCGCCAGTACCCCGCCCACCTACTTTTTCTACGTTCCGGCGCATACACCGGCGCAACTTGCGAGGGATCGGTAGTGGACCGAAATGGCTGGTGGCGCCAGCCAAAAGCAGGCCCCGCGTCGTTTCATTTTTTTTGGGTGCGTGGTTGGTGGTTTAAGATACATATATACATATATTTAACCACCAGTACCTTGCCCAGCTATTGAAGCTGAGCCTGTCGCCACCAGCCATTTTGGTCCGGTCCGGTACCCTGACCCCTGAAAGTTGCGGCTGTATATGAGCCACACTTTTTTTTTTTTTTTTTCAAGCAGGGAAAAGTACTGGTGGTTTAAACCACCAGTACTTCCTAAAGTTGCCACGATCTTAGGAAACGTACGGGCCGCTACAGGAGCGCCCAAATTCATCCAACTAGAAACGTTTCTACTCTATTCTTTTCTGTGGGCCCAAGTACTGGTGTTTTAACTGTTGCATGTGTGTGTGCACCATTCGGCCACACATGGGGACCAAGCAGTGTGATGCTTGTTCTGCTCTATATCAGTCGCATACTAAGGGCATACTCACACTAGGAACTTTCCTCAATGAATCTGGCGGCAATTACAGCCAGACCTGGATTCATGTGCCCGTAATTACGTCCAGAGCTCAGTCGGAAAAGTCCTAGAGTGAGAGTATGCCCTAAGTGGGTATTTCAAACCACCAGTACCTACCGGTTGTTGCGGCCGTTGACGCGGTAGCGAATCGGTTTGTCCGGAGGGTCCATATTTCCATTCGACCCGGGGGGGTACGAAAAATGCGGTAGGTACCGGTGGTTTAAATAATGCAACTGGAGTGATCGTGGTTGTCGTTTGTCATTTGCTTCTTTCTTTCTGATCAGAATTTGTTTTGTGTTGTGGTTTTGGGTTTGCACAGGGTGCTTTGTTGTCTCTGTTGCGACAACTAGCAAGGCTAAAGAGTGATAAGCAGGTCGTGTCCGTTGGGTTTATTGGCTATCCTAACGTCGGAAAATCTTCCGTAATAAACACGCTACGGACAAAAAAGGTTTGTGGTCTTCCCTTTCTTTTTTTTTGGTGTCTTTAACTTTGTTTACTCCGTTACGACTGCAATTCAACTTTTAGAAAACTTGTCTCGTCTTTCACGTCTGTCTTCTTTCTTTTCTCTTTTTCATTTGTGATCGATATCCGTGTTGTTCTCCATCGTTTTTCCTGTATATATGGCAGAAATTCAATCGAACTTTGAGGACTTTTTTTTTTTTTTTTTTTTCAAGGGCCCAGTGTAGTCTAAGGCTTTTAGATTTCGTGACGGGGGCAGATATGATGAACACTTTGCAGCATCTGTCTGCTAAACATGGGTTGATTTTTTCGTCTCTCAGAAGTGGAGTTGAATCGGGTTGAGCTTTCCATGTTCGGTCATCAATGTTGGAATCGTAGATTGGATCCTTGTCTTTATGTACCTTTTTTTTTTTTCTTTTTTTTTTTTTTTACTTGGACCATTTCTCAATTTATGCCTGTCATCCTTGTGCAGGGGCCATGCTCATCGTCTTTGTATCGTTCCAATGTTGATGGATGTCCCGACGGACTGGATGGTTGTTGATTAGTGAATGAATTTATACCTGATTCCTTTCAATTGACTCAAATTAGTATTTACTCGTCGAACTGCGTAGAGAAAGGGGAACGCCCCCCAAAAAAGGAAGGACAAAAAAGGCAAAAGAAAAGAAGAAAAAAGAAATGTGTGTGTCAGAGAATCTGGTCAGTTTATGGATGGGTGACGGGCGGAGTGGCCTTACGCATATACTATGATATTTCTGATCGTGTGTTTGGCATGGTGGTGCCTTTGACAAAAAGCTTGTGGAAGTCATTCAACGGTGATAAACCAACCCCGGAGGCTAACTCTCTCCTCCCTATACGATCAGTTTCAGATTCAAGGGGGGGGGGGGGGGGGGGGGGGGTAGCAGACCCCCCCCCCCACACCCCACATTCCCTTCCCCCCCCCCCACCCCGCACACACACACACCAAAAAAAAAAAGAAAGAAAAAACAATTTTTTTAATTTTCTTGTTGGATTTGTATACGAATTTGGAGATGACCCTCAGCCCCAAGTCTTTTGTGTTGCAATGCTGCAGAACATGTCTTTTTTCCAGATTTTTGGAGGTTTTCCGAAAATCGCAGTTTTTCAAAATTGGTATATGTTTGAATTTTTAAACCATGAGTTCACATGAACCTAAGGGTAGAACCCCACTGCTTGGCGGTGCTTGGCACCAGGAAAACATCCGCCAGCCCAGAATCGTAGCTGACAGGAGTGGGCAAGCGAAAGGGGACTCCACCGCCACAGCAATTGTCGGCACTTCCCGAGGTTTCTGTTACCCGATCAGGAAGACTTGCCTTTTCGGGCAAGTTTGCCTCCGGCGTTTCAGCACACCAACCAATCCCAATGCTTCCTTTCCGCACGGGATGGCTGAACCCCGTGGGGAATGGAAGCACGGCGATTGGTTGGTGGTGTGCTGAAAAAGCGGAGGCAGGCAGAGTGGAAACACAAATGCTTGTGTTTGCCGCGAGCAGTGGGGTCCCAAAAAATGTCTTCCAAAGGCTTGCCGCCAGCCAGTGGGGTCCTCCCTAAGTAGTGCTCACTGCTCTTACAAGTATACACGGTAAGAACATTTCAAATCCGGGATTGGGCCGGTATCGAAAGCGGCAGAGTCCGCTTTGAAAAGGTGCAGTTGCAGGCACCCGAGCCTTGGAAAGATGGTAGCTTCGTTAACCAAGGCTCGTGTGAACCGGTGGTTCAAAATTATCCCGGACAGGATCCGGACCCGGACATCCAGATGGTGAGATGGCCTTCCGGATGTCGGGATGACAAGTTAATATCCATGGTTTACAAAGTTCACAGTTAGGAGTAGGGCAATGTTTAACCACCGGGATGACAGGCCGGTGTCGAGATGGCCTTCCGGCTTATCATGATGGAGTAACGACCCCGTTGTAGCAGTAGTAAGTTTTAAATTTTTTGTTGAGATAGCGGGGCTCGCACAGGCGACGTTTCAAAATAAATAAATAAATAAAAAAATCCGTTTTCTTTTTGTGGCTTTAGGAAGGCTGTATGGTGGTGACAGTCGGGATTCAAACGCTTGAAAAACCACCAGTACTTGGCCCAGCTATTGATGCCGAGCCGGGATGCCCCCTGCGCGCTAAGTTTTGCCAAGCCGCCGGGGAACCGTTTCGATTTCATTTTGGCTGGCGCTTCCAGCCATTGTGGTTCGGTGCCCCGAAGCCCGCAACTACGGGCGCGTTAACGGGAATCGCCCGCGGCCAATAGCTAGGCCAAGTACTGGTGGTTTAAGAAGAGAAAGTTGGTTTGACTACCGTCTTCCCCCCCTGAAGATAATGCACCCTGATTCTGAATGTATACGAGCCATCTTTCCGGTTGGAAGCAGTCGTAATGAGGGTCTGTTGTGTCGGGGGGAAGACGGTGGCATGGGCTATCGTCGCCTATCGATCATTCCTGTCTACTGTGTGTTTCTTGTTGTTGTGGTACAATGGACCATGCGCGGATCAGGTATTAAATTGATCGGAAGATTTGAAACGGGTTATAAGAAAGAAAGGGAAAAAATAAATAAATAGAACAGGTGCTACGCTTGATCTTTAGCCCAAAGGGCAATAAAGGGGTGTTGGTTGCTATTCGCCTATCATTCTGCCGATTGTAGTGATTGAAGAATTGATTTGGAAATGTGAGATACCGAGCTGCAAAAGGGTTGGTTGGTGTTTTGGATGACGCAGGTCTGTAAGGTGGCGCCGATTCCCGGTGAGACAAAAGTGTGGCAATACATCACGCTGATGAAGAGGATTTTTCTGATCGATTGCCCAGGAGTCGTCTATCATTCCAAGGACTCAGAAACTGATATCGTCTTGAAAGGAGTGGTATGTATATGTGGTTCACTTTTCTTTCTCTTTCTTTCTTTCTTGCTCTCTTTTCTTCTTCTTTTTTCCTCTCTCTCTCTTTTTTTTTTTTTTTTGTTTTTTTGTTTTTTTTGTTTTTTTGTTTGTTTGTGCCCATCCATCTCCCGCACCCGCTTGATTCTCTGTCTGCCTCGCACCCCATCTCACTCCCCCTCCTTCCTTTTGTCTCCCTCTGCACCTTTTGTTCCCTCTCTCTCTCCTTTTATAGTTGTCCTCCCTCCCTTTCTTTCTTCTTTCTTCCTTTCTTCCTTTCTTTCTTTCTATCTTTCTTTCTTTCTTTCTGCCCATCCGTCTTTAGGCCCATCCGCTTGTTTGTGTGTGTCTGATTCTCCCCCCATCTCACTCTCTCTCCTTCCATTTGTCTTCCCCTGCACCTTTCCTTGTCCGGCAACTCGGTCAAGTCATCAATAAAATTTTGGGCTCCCTTTCTTTCTTTCTTTCTTTCTTTCTTTCTTTCTTTCTTTCTTTCTTTCTTTCTTCTTTCTTTCCACCCATCCATCTTTAGGCCCACCCGGTTGTTCGTCTCTGTGTGATTCTCACCCCATCTCACTCCCTCTCCTGCGATTTGTCTCCACCCCCGCACCTTTCCTTCCCTCTCGCTCACCATTCATAGTTGTCTGGCAACTCAGTTGAGTCGTCAATAAAATTTTGGGCGGGGTGATAAGAGTAACAAGCATAAACGTTTTTGTTTGGTGGATCTGAAACTGGCCGTCCTCTGCAGGATGTCAGTTCGAGGGCTCTGCCTCAACGACTGCATTGAAGGCACAAAGAATGTGCTTTGATGCGTGTAGACCTCGAATGTGCTTTTTTGAGAGCTAGACATGTAATGTGCTTTGACACAGCTAGAGCTTGAACGGGCTTGCTCGTGACCTGCAAGGTTTTGAAAACGCAATGCCGGATGGAAGGAGTTCCTGTGAGGCGTGCAAGATTGTGTAGAAGTACGAGTGCGGCGGAGGGGTGCGATGCAGGACTCGGCAGTAGCATGCGCAAAGATATGCAATTATACTTCGGTGGCGTGATGCACGACTCGCTTAAGGCTTCATTGTTCTGAATTGTGAATGTATACACACATGTCTCCCACTATCGACGCACGTGGGGGACCTTGCACTTGACATAGGGAGCCAGTTTTTTTGAATCGTGCTGTGTGAATGTACACACAGGTCTCCCTAACTCGCCCACTGTCAATACATACGTGGGGTACCTTGCACTCGACATCTGTGCGTGGTGCGCACAGGCTTTCCACACACGCCTGCCATGTTATGTGAGGCACTAACTCTGCAATGATGCGTGGGTTATAACAACCCCCTCAGTTGGGATGAGTTTTCGCATCTCAGGCATACTTTTCATACATACAGAAAATGCATCTATCACTTTGGTCAGCTTGACTGCTGCATCCTGTTGAGAAATGGCAGGCTGTCTGTCAACAGATCTTGTCCGTTCCACTGAAAAAAACTGAACTCAACCTTATCTGAGTGCCTGCACGTTGTTTGTCGTACTACTCATGCGAAATAACGCCAACCGGTCCCTTTCTGTGCTCATTGATGTATCAAAGTGAGAGCATTTGAAAAGGGCAAAGTTGTCCTTTCTATGTTGCATGTACGAGTGACGACTGCCCATGATTAATTTTCGTGTGTGTGTGTGAGTGTGTGTGTGTGTGCGCGCGCGCGTTGCGGTGTTGTCTGGACCTTAACTGCTCATCTTATGATCCAAATGAAGCACAGTTTTCCTGGGTCTCAGGTGCTGTATATACGAGTGCTTGCTGTGCCTAATCTTTTGTTTTGCTCGTTTATTTGTTTGTTTGTGTGCGTGTGTGTGTGCGTGTGTGTGTGCATGTGTGTGTGCGTGTGTGTGGGTGTTTTGTGTGTTTTGTGTGTGTGTGTGTGTGTGTGTGTGTGTGTGTGTGTGTGTGTGTGTGTGTGTGTGTGTCACAATTTATAGGTAAGAGTTGGGAATCTGGAGCATGCTTACGAACATATTGGCGAGGTGCTTCAACGTGTCCGGCCAGAATATCTGAAGAGGGCCTACAGGATCTCATCTTGGTGAGCATCAGTCACATAATCAAACCTGTGGGAGCATGGTGCTGTAGTGGAGCGCACTAATTTGTGCAATGTTGCAGCAAAGCCCTGGAAGTGAAAGTGGGTATAATATTAAGTTGGAAAGTTGGAAATCCAGAACAGAATAGTAGCATTTTTTTTATTTTTTTTAAAATTTGGACCATTTCTTGATTTATGCATGTCATCCTTGCGCAGGGGCCATGCTAATCTTCTCTGTATCGTTCCAATTTGAACAGATGTCCCGAAGGACAAAGTAAAATAAAATTTAAATAATAGAAAACGGTACGCACCCAGTCCATTTGGCTGGAATGTTACACACTGTTGATGAACTGATGATGTGAACTGTTGTCGAACTGTCGATGAACTGTCGATGAACTGTCGATGAACTGTCGATGAACTGTCGATGAGCAACAGACCTGAGTTTGAATCCTGATGGATGGAATCAGATAAGTAAAATAACTCTGAATTAAAAAAAGGAATTCAGAGCGAAAAAGAAAAGGAATGGTAAAAAATTCCTGGGGCTGGTCGGTACGATGATGATGATATCTCAAGTCGGCAACCTTAGAGCCAAAAAAAAAGACAAGGAATGGTAAAAAATAAAAAATAAAAGAAAAGAAAACAAAGAAAAGGGTTGTATTATGGTGTGACCGTGTCTTCACTGATTTTTAATGTCTTCTCCGGAATCGAACGTGTACTCCACCTCCTCACGTGCGGGCCTAGCTCAGTTGGTACACACCCATGAGTTGTGGAAATACAGACCGAAGTTCGAATCCCGATGGGATTCGATGAGCAGAAAAAGAAAAGAGCGTACACTATCCTGGAGTGGATGTGACCGAAAATGTACGGTATGGAGTTCCGACTCTTTGTCACCGCCTTTACCTGAATAGAACGCCCAGTCTTTTTTAGCTGTGTCTGGCGGAACTTCCAGTCTAGATACAGCGATAATGACTGGGCGTTCTATTCGGGTGAAGACTGTAGGCCTTTGGACTTGCAGCTACGAAAAACCCAAAAGGGCAACTTTACTATGAACTTGGACGTTTCCGGAAAAACATCGGAATCTGGATAATCCAGACCTGAGTTCGAACCCAAGTGGAACTAGATGGATTGGATGAAATCAAATTATCAATTGCTTCTGAATTACGCCGGCAGTCCGATGATGATACATCAAGGCCATCGCACCTTTTGGAAGAAGAAAGGCGAGGAGGGAAAAGAAAAAAAAAATGTACGGTCATTTAGCTGTATCTGAACTGAAAGTTGGGTGAAATTCGGCTGTAGTGAGTATTTTGAGTGTACGTTGTATTCAGGGCAATGCAGTAGTTATCTTGAAGCATGCACGGATTCCTATATGTCTCTGTCATGTGGAAAGTGCCGTCGTTTCTCAAGTAAAGTTTTTTTTTGAGCCCCTGGTACGCTGGTTGGCGCCCAGCTCAGTTCGTAACACTAATAATGTGTTGAAATGCAGACTTCAGTTCGAATCCCAATCGAATCTGAGTAAATTATTTACTCTGAAAAGAGACAAAGAACAGAAAAGACGGGCTCGCGGAGGAATATGCCGTTGTTGTAGATTGCAGGCCCCACAGAGGCCAGAAGGAAGAAAAGAACGCAAAGCAGGGTCATGTGTTCCACGTTGCCAGATAACGATCATGCACAGAATGCGCAGAAACCGATATGTATCAGAGCAGAGACAACATGCGAGAGGGAATAGCACAGATGAATTCAACAAGCATCAGAAAAATGCAAAGCATCACACAGCATACACGACGTCGTCACACAGATAACACTGAAAGAAACCAGCTGAATCACCCTTGCCCTTCCCTCATTGATCTTCTCTTCCATTGACAGCTGCCCAACATCCTATTCTCTCTCTCTCTCTCTCTCTCTCTCTCT